TGTCTCTTCAGTGAGGCTAAATGCCTAGACCCTCCTCCTACCCTCTATTAGGGCCTAAGTACCTACTATTAGGGACCATATATCCCCAATTAAGGGTACACGGAGGGTCGTGGTGAGATGAAGTATTGTTTGGCGGCATGGCGTTTGGTCCAATGGAAGCGCTCTCTGCGCCCCAAACCCCACATCCCAACCTCCAGACCCTGAACCCCAAACCCCAAAAGCCTTCAACTCCAAACCCCAAAGCCATAAACCTCAAGCATAAACCCCAAACCCTAAACCCCAAATTTTGAGATTTGAATACTTCAGGTTGGCCTGGCAGTTTCAGATGTTGGCCAACAGCCGAGCTCGACGCGAAGCTGTGGAAAGCGAAGATGACGGCATTTTGGCTCACTAGGGGCTTGGGGTTTGGGGTTTATGGTTTCGGGTTTAGGGATTAAGGTGTGCGGATTAGGGGTTAGCTCGCAGAGAGGAGTAAGGCATTACGGCTTATGTCTTCGGGAACCTTGAAGAAGAGGCCCTTCATCTACATAGGTCCTTTACACGGGGCTTATAAGAACCCGGGTTTAAGGGCGGCTATAGGGGACATATAAGGTTTAGGGGCTTCAGGGTTTTAAGGGTTTAGGTTTTTGTGATTAAGGCCTCTAACCGTTTGAGTGAGCCTTGTGGCTCAAGATTTCGAATCTAGTGATAGGATTCGGGAAACCGTATGTAAATTCACAAACTCAAGCGCAAGTCAAACGCATGCCTGTGCCGGGATAGAATATTTTCGCCCATTCGTAACTGCATCTCAGACCCAGACAAGGAATTGCATAGAAATCTTACTAGGTCTCAGGAGCTACAGAGGAACCGTACAAGGCGAAAATGAAGAGCTGCATTGTAGTTCCTTTGGGGGCGTGCTCCATCCACACTAGACTCACCCTACTTGCAGGGTCAGGTGGACTTGGTAAGCATACTTATAGGTCTTACAGGCCATAGAATTGGCCAAGACCATCATACCCATGATTACCCAGCTAGTTCCCCCACCGTAAAACCCTAAACCTTAATGCCTGGCCGTAAACCCTGAACCCTAGACCCTAAACCCTAATCCCTAAACCCAAAACCCTAACCTACTCACTAAGTCCCATTGACCCTCCAAGCAACCCCTAAACCCCTAAACGGCCTAACCCTAAGCCCGATGATCACGAAGCCCAGGCTCCCCTTTGGATGAACTGCCGCCGAAGAAAAAAAGAGTTTGCTCTAAGTTTGCACGTGGTTTGGGGTTTAGGTTTATAGGGTTTAGGGTGGTTTGGGGTTTGGGGTTAAGGGTTTGGGGTTATAGGGTCTAGGTGGTTTTGGGGTTTTGGGGGCAGAGTTTTAGGGTTTAAGGGTTTGGAGGTTTTCGTGGCTTGGCGTTTAGGGTTAAGGCTTAAAGGTTAAAGGTTCAGGGTGTAGGGTTTAGGAAGGTTCGACCTGGGAGTTAGTTGCGCGACGTAGCCTCCGACACTGACGTGGAGCCAATTCTTTCTTTCAAGAGGATATACCTGGACCCATAAAGTATGTAGAATTATAGCTTTTTTGGCTGTGTTTAGGGGTGTTGGGCCATTATTTTACATTTTGTTGGAGTTGAGGTAGGGCTTTTAGGGCCTCACATAGGGAAATCCTGGTATCAGTAGGTACGCTCAAGGCATACGCAGGTACAATCCTATAGCCTCTCATAGGTACTTACATAGCGGACACTCGGGTTTCATCATATGCCTACCTGGGCACTAAACCCTAAACCCTAACTGTATGTGTATATATATAAGTATATATATATATATGAACCCTAAACCCTAAACCCTCAATGTGTGTGTATATAAGTATACCAACCCAGTGGCCAAAACCTTTAGATGGAACATCCCAAGCCCGATCCCTAAGCGACCACAAGATTCCTGTCTGGTTACTGCAAGGCTGGTGTAAGGAGTTGAAGGCTTGAGTTTAGGTTGGTTTGAGGGTTTGGGGTTACGATACTTACGTACTGGTTGAGGGCAGGGTGTAGAGCTTAGGATTTAGGGTGGACCTTCTATGGTTTGGCGTTTAGGACACGTTGCGTGGTTTCGGGCTTCATTTCCGAAAGGGCTTCCACCTCCTTCTTATATTGGACATCCCAAACCCTCCCCTAAACCCTAAACCTTATAAACCCTACACCCTAAACCTTAAAACCGTAGAAAAGGTCCGACAAACAAACCTTAAACCCTAAAGCCTGATTAAACTCTATCCAGCTTCAGCCTCCAACAGCTCTCTTTTGGAAGCAGCCGCCTTAGGCTTGCAACCCGCCCGCAATCCCAAACCCTTATAGTCCCCTTTAAGTAGATCGAATATAGCTTTGGTATATTATACGTAAATCCCCATATATCATATACCCCATATTCTATCTACTTAAAGGGGACAATACGCCCCTAAACCCTAAACCCTAAATAGTAGTTTCCATGTTCTTTTCCATTATCCCTATATAACCCCTATAAAGCCCCACTAAACCCTAAACCCTAAACCCTATACCCTAAGCCCTATACCACATATTCTATCTACTTAAGGGGACAAGAACCCCACCACCTCCGACTCCGGACCATAGGCCCTCAGCCCTATAAACCCTAAATGGTTTAGGGGTTTAGGGTTTAGGGTTTAGGGGCTTGGGGGTTTAGGGTTTAGGGTTTAGGGGTTTAGGGTTTAGGGGGACCCTAAGTGTAAAATCTCCAAACAGCACCATGTTGGATCCAAAAAATGGAACCTCCCAATAATCCCCTAGTGTCCCCAATGTACTCACGGAGGTCATTTTGGGGCTGGGTCCATTTTTTGGATCCTACCCGGCTCATTGAGTTACCGTAAACAGGAAACCCCGTTATTCGTGGTAACGTAATTCAGATTCTTTAACAGCAGCCAAGTAGACTCCTGCAACGACATATGAAAGCTTCGTGTCTCAGATGCAAAGAAACCCTAAGGGTCCAAGTACTTAATACTCATATACTTGCCCAGAACCTATACTATAAGTACCATTATCCAAAACCCAAGTACCTGATTATTGGGTACAGGGACCCTCTGGGAAAGCCAATCCATTCCAGGCCCTTTGGCTCGAAAAGCTTGCTCCCAGGTAAAAATGATTGTCGAGAACATGTGTCTGTAAGCCCGAAATCCTAAAACCCGAAACTCTAGACCCATGACGCTTCGCAAAGAAGGTGTTACAAGGTCTAAGTCGCGTTAAAGGCGATGCATATATATATATGTATATTTCTATGTATATACACATCAGTACTTGCACCCTTGTCGCCACAGGTCGTTATGGAGATTGCACGGGCAGTCAAAGCAGAACCCTGGAAATCCAAGTCTATGAGCTTACTTACTTCGGGCCCTGAAGTATACATGAAAGACGGTTGAGGGTTTAGGGGTGTAGGATGTAGGGGTTTGGGGTTTAGTTTGCCCTTTTCGGGTCCCTAGGGTCAAGATTAAGTAGAAGAGCCAACTAGCCAGGTCAAGAAAGTTAGGCAGTCGAAGCAGAGCGCTGTTCCAGATATCTGCGAGTGATGAAGTTCCGGGCAAGCGGGCAGTCTTCTGCTTTCCTTGCAGCTTTTCCACTTCTGATTCCAGCTTCAGCTGAATCTGGTGTGCGTGTGGATCCTACCACACAGAGCTTTGTCGACTCCGCAGGACGAAGTGTTCTCTTCCATGGCATCAATGTAGTGGGCAAGTACTCGCGCAACTGGGTTGTCATTCAGGAACTGCAGCTAAGTTACCTTAATGTGGGTATGTAGTAAATGATGTAGGATAATAGGAGTTTGTTAACAACAGCGGAGGTAAGGAGCAAGAGCTCTCGGACAAGCAGATGGATGTCATGAAGGACCTGGGTTTCAATGTAGCGCGGGTGGGTTTAAGTTGGGACTTGTACGAGACAAAGCCTGGCATCTTCGACGAGACGTACCTGGACTTTGTGGAAGCACAGGCACTTAATCGAGAAACACGGGCTTTTCGTAAATAAGGACCGCGCGAATGTACAACCCTGAATATTTGCGAATACTGTTAGTTAACATTCCCTAAATCTGTATATATATATATGTCCATCTATATACAAATATCTATATATGTATATATATATACAGACCCTATAAACCCTAGATGCTGCACCCTCACTCCTCAACCCAAAAACTTTAACCCTAAACCCTGAAGCCTAACTCCAGAACCCTTACCTAGACCCCTCAAATATGCAAAATAATAACCATAAACCCATAATAACAGCCCTAAGGGCCAGTATTTTACATACTTTTGGGGTCCAGGTAGACCCTAAACCTTAAATCCTGAACCCTAAACCCCAAACCCTAAATCCTAAAGCCTTAACCCTACCCATTATTTTACATACTTTTTGGGGGTCCAGGGAGAGCCACAGGTGAATGCATTGGGAAGTCGGGGCATTCTCTCTTTCCTGGACATGCACCAGGACCCAGGATTTAGGATTGTATGGTTTAGCATTGAGGGATTAGGATTTAAGGGTGTGGGGTACAGGGCTTCAGGGTTTTAGAGTTCAAGGTTTTGACCCAACACCCTTTAGGGTTTAGGGATGAATACCTAGGGTCCCGGCCCAAATTTGATGGTTTCAGTAACCAAAAACCATTGAGATTATGGCATTGGGTATTTGAGACCATTAGATACATTGGGGTACTTGGGCTCGTAGGGGCAGGCAAGTTCAGACAGCACGCGTACTTCCACCATATAACTCCTTTCTACACCTTCTTATGTACCTGGACCCCTAAAGTATATGTAGAATTATAGCCTTTTGGGCTGTTGTTAAGGGTGTAGGGCCATTATTTTACATACTTTTGGAAGCATTGGAAGCTCCCCTCCAGAACTCCTCCTGCGCAGGACCTTCTGGCCAAACAGTACCTAGGTACCCCAGTAGTACCCTTTTGCCCCCTTTTCATTTTGGGGTCTCCTTTTAAAATTGAACAGTACGAAAAAGGGTACCCTTATTACTAATGGGTTACTGGGGAACCTAGGTACTGTGGACATGGGCTGCCTGAGTGGCACATGTGGCCAACGGATTCAGATAACTTCCACAGAAATGGCCAATGGGCATTTCCCAAACCTGTGGCCGAACCGAAGTATGGTCCCAATGATCCCTAGCAGAGTTCAGGATTCAGGGTTTGGGTTTAGGGTTTAGTGTGCAGGGTTTGAGGTTCACGCTTCAGGGTTTTGGGGTTGGCGTTTAGGATGGTTTAGGGTCCTATAAGCATCACCTTTTCTGAGCAACACAAAGCCGAGCATGTCCAATGACTAGGTTATGGGAAGGCCCTAGATGCTGGACATATACCTGAGGATACTTATTCGGGGCCGTATGGCCGGATCAGCAATTGCGGTGAAGCGGAGTCCGGCAAGATCGGGTGGGCTGGGATCTACCTGACTCGTGCCCTCTCCAACGCAGCCCAGCTACCCGGGCAAAACTGTAACATCCACATATTACTTATATATCCTTTAATAGAGGGTAAATTTGTTCTGCTCCTCTTGGGTCAGGTATGTTGTAAGAAGAAGAAACGAGTTCTCCCCCTAAACTCTAAACCCGGTGGTTTCTATTTTCTGGTCCATTCTTTCATTTTCTGCTGAAGCTGATTTGTTTTAACTTGATTTTATCACTGGACCCTAAACAACCTAATGATAAAACCCGAGAGCCTACGCCTAAACCCTAAACTTTCAACCCTGAACCCTAAGCCCTAAATCCTAAACCCTAAACCTTAACCTGGGTGATTAAGGGGGATACTACCTCAACCCCAAAAGTATGTAAAATAATAGCCCTGAACCCCTAATAACAGCCATAAAGGCCATTATTTAACATACTTTTGGGGTCCAGGTAAACTCTAAACCCTAAACCCTAAATCCTAAACCTGGACTTCAGTCACCTAGGCTTCTCTACAAGAATGACCCAGGGAGGCTCGATGCCTTCGCCGACTTCTGGCGCAAGGTTGCGCGCAGGTTCCGGAGCAACCGGTACCTAGGTGGCAACTTGGGATAACAGGGTTTATGAGCTTAGGACTTAGGGTCTAAGAGGTGGAGTTTAGGATGTAAGGTTTGGAATTTAGCGGCAAAGATTTGGAGTTTAGGATTTGAGGTTCAGGGTTTGGGTCGCAATTTGAGATAACGTCCCTTACTAGCGACCGTCCACCACCGTAACACCATAAATACTCTTCAACTCTGGATAGTTCTGAACTTTTCTTGCTGCCAGTAAACCTTTCAGTTGTATCTGAAACTCCTGAAGCCTTCTGCCCTTTGAATTAGGATAGTTGCGAGTTTTCGTTACCATTGACATGGTAATTACCCATTACTACTGTTTAAACTAAAATTCCTGCGTTACCTTAGTATACTACAGTCTCATAGTTCCCAAGGTATATGGTGCTTAGGGTCATGCAGGATTTGTAGTATCAATCTTATCAACCCAAACCCCAACCCCTAAGCCCCTAAACCCTAAACCCCAATCCTAAACCCCAACCCCGAAACCCTAAACCCTAAACCCTAAACTGCAGCATTCATCCCACGGTTGGTTGCCAAGTTCTGCAGATTCGAATGATCTCGCCTGTTGTTAAGCCACATGAACCACAATCTAAACCCCTTAAAGGGAGGTTATATAGGGGAGTATATATGGAGCACTACTATAGGGTTTATGAGGAGGGATTTTAGGAGTTGAGACTATAGCTCAAATGACGTATCACATGCAGCACCCCTAAAGGAGTGACTTCAGCTGGCTGAATTTCCCTAAACCCCATATGATCACCGTTGGTGAACTTGACTAGAAACCTATGTTGCTTACACGCTGCATGCAAAAGCCCCAACCCAAAAGATAAACCATAAAGGGTTTAGGGTTTGGGGCTTAGGGTTTAAGGTTTAGTGTACGATCGAGAAGCTTTCATTTTTCTGATTCGTTCAGCCCCTACTGGCTACCAGTAAGTTGCAGCACAGCCCGGGTGAATTCTAAGCTTTGAACCCAATTCCTGGAGCCATAAGATTTACCCCAAACCGAGAGCCCTGCCCTTCAAGTACAAACCCTAAACTCTAAACCCTAAAGCCTAAACACCCTTGAAGCACAGCACAGGTATGTCTTAGCCTATGAGCTCATCAACGAGCCTTGGTTAGGCGATGTCTTTGCAGATCCCTCTCTCCTGATTCCTTCTAAGGCCGACAAGGTGAGACGTTCTCAAAAAAAAGAGCACGGACCGCAAACCCTAAGCCATAACCCCTAAGCCGCAAACTCTGAATTCCTAAGCTCTAAACCCATAAGACCCTAAACTCCAAACCCTTGACCTAAGAAACACCAGGTTCTTCTGGAAGCCTTCTATGAGAGGCTGCACACAGCAATTCGTGCGGAAGACGCCGACCTGACCACAGAGTATGTTGTATTTCAGAATTTCAGGGTCAACGTTGCGCATGTGTGTTTAGGGTTTTGGGTTCTGATGCGCTGTGCCAAATTAAGGAATACAAAGCTAGCTAGAAGTCATGCTAGTATCTGAATAAAGAGCCAAATCGAGCTTTTCTGTATGATTCAAGCCTATACCCTGTAGCTAGGGAAAGTTCAGTAAGTAGCAGTCAACCTATGTTTGTACAGTATGGAATCCAGTATACTTGAATCCAACGGCTTACCTTCGTGAAAGACCTCGGTCACTATAAGCTCTACATCCGATGTTTTCCCTAAACTTTACACCCTATAAAATCCTAGGTGTCTCTCTATATCCTTAGAAATACCTAGATATTCCTACATACTCTTCCGTGAAAGCTTACATTTCTCTATAAAGCTCTATGCAGAATCCCTATATCCCTAAACCTTAAAC